GCACGGGAAAAGTTGTGGGTGTCTGGGAAAAGGGGAGGAGGAGGAGGAAGGAGAGGAGGAAGGAGACACATGGGTTGTGCGCCAGACCTGCAGGTGGTACTGCCTGTTCCTCAGGACATCGTGGATGACCACTGTGTGGGAGGAGACATACAGGAGCACCCGGTCCTCCCCGTCCATCAGGCTGTGCACAGCCAGGCTGCTGTTGTAGCCAAACACCCAGGACAGGTTCTGCAGGGAAGAGGGAGATCCTGGCTCTTAGCAGACAGGACAAAAAAGCCACACAAGGTCTGTGGGGTGGTAGAAGAGAGCGAGGTGGGAGCACCGCGTGCCGTGTGGACCGTCACGGTGGCACTGTGCCCACTGGTACTCACAAGAGAGTGAGGGCTGCTCTCCTTGTCCTTCTGGAACAGCATCCCTGGCTTGGCTGCCCACACCAAGCTGGCAGAGCCATCACGCTGGGCATCCTTACTGCTCCTCTGGTGTGTGTCCTGCTTCCTGCAGTCTGAGTGAGGGCTGGAAATGGCCCCCTTCGGCTCAGAGAGGGCTGGGGGTGTTTTAGGGGGCCCAGCACCCTTCAGGCACGATGTCCTAGCAGTGTCTTCCTCCAGGGCATCCTGGCTCCCAGCCCAGGTGCTGGGCAGGGTGTCTAGAATCCCCATCCCTGGAGGAGGTGATGGGGGACACAATGGTACATCTGCTTCAGCGTCCTCTGGTGGTCCTTCCTTCTCCTGGGCAGCAGCAAGGGGATCCTTGGAAAGGGAGAGAGATTTTGGTGGGTGCTGGCTCCTGGGCTGGTCTGGCTGGGGACCAGTGGTGGGAATGAACCCCAGCACGTCTCAGATCCAAGCTACACCATTCTCAGGGCAGGCTCCAATAACAAAACACTCCTTTGCTCCTGTCCAAACTGCCTAAGGATTTGTACTAGCAGAAAAAAAATTCCATGGAAAGTTTCCCAACAGCTGCTGCTTTTCTTTCTGCATGTTTAAGCTCGGCCTCTTTGCACCTCCTCAGCATCCTGTGCCTCACATCAGAACCTCCTCAGGGAGCTCCTATCACCTGGGCTAAGATGCCAAAAACTAACCTGGAGGTCCTGTGAACTCTGTCCTTTCTGATGTCCATCCCCTGACTATCCCCCAGCAATGGTTATTCATTGCTGCAACAGGGTACACATCATGGGTTGGACAGGGAGCAATGGCAAATAGAGGTTAAAACCAGGGGAATCAGGTCCTGGAACTGGGGCTGAGCTGGCTGTGAAGGGCTCTGCAGCAATCCCAGCCGTGCTTCCCAGCCAGCAGACAGAAAGGCAGGCTAAAAATCCCACCACCACCTTCCTCAGCCCCTCACCAGCCTGTCAGTAATTGTATTAACCAGCCCTGGGGGGTCAGAGCTGGCAGCAGCCCCGGTCAGGGGCTCTCCAGTCTGACCACCGACCACTTGATCTTGTTCTTAGGATCCACACCAGCTTTTGCCTCTCCGCACTGGACTACTGGATTTTCCATAGCAATCTCTCCTGCAAGGTCTAAGCCCCCCTTGGACAGTTCCTGGTGTGAGGGAGGTGAGATAACATTTCATTCAGCACAGGGAGGAGCTGGGTTCCCTCCTGCTCAGATGGCTCCAGATAGCTCAAGAGTCAGCAAATATTGACAGCTGGACGAGACTACAGAGAAATGGCACCTCTGCCAAGCCCCCCAGACCCCTACCCTGGGATGTCTTGGGGTAAACCACATCTGGAGACACTACCCTTCAGCCAGAGGCTCTGTTTCCATCATATTTTGCCCCAGATCCTGTCTTGGGCAGGACTTCCCATGGCACTGCCCTCACCTGCTCACCCATCTCCTGAGCTGTCTGTCTGTCCTGGGACATCCTTGAGCTCGTTGCTTATTCCTGTTCTTCCCTCAGTGGGCTCCTCTGGTGTAACTTCACAGGAACCAGCCACCTGCACCTTCTCTCCCCTTCCAGGGACCTGGGGTGTGGAGATGCTCTGGAATACTCACACACACACACACACACACACTCCCCCAGGGTCTGGCTGCACCACAGCGACCTGGAACTGGGCATAGTAGGAGAAAAGGGCACCTGTGAGGATGGGAAACGGGTCCCAGAGGCCTTTTCAGCTCCAATAACACTCCCACTGAGCACAAACAAGCCCAGCACTGCTCCAGTAATTCCAGCTGAGCCCCGGCTCCCTCCCCATCCTCCCGAGCCGGGCGGGGACTTTTCCCTTTGGATGGGGTTTTGTCCCAGTCCCCATAAGCAGCCGGACAGCTCCTGGACGGCAGCTGCTTCATCTCCGGCTTCACGGCTCTGGGATTTGAGCCAACAATCAAAACCTTGTGCGCGGAAAACTTTCACGGGAGCGGGGAGGGGCCCTGGGAAAACCCGCCGGGATCGGGAAGGGGCCCTGGGAAAACCCTCCCCCGGCCCCGGCGGGCAGGGAGGGAGCTCGGGAACAGCCGCTCGGGGACCCCGCGGGTGTCACCGGGGTCACACAGAGCCGCTCCCGAGCCCCCTCCAGGCCTGGAGGCTCCGCTGGGACCCTGTCGCTCACCGACACACCGATCCCCGCGTCCCTTCGGCTCCGGCCGCCGTTCCCAGGCAACGGCCGCACCGGCGGCACCGGCTGCGCCAGCGGCGGCTCCGGGAAACAGCGGGGAGAGCGGCTGGAAGGGGGGACAAGGGGGGCCCTCCTCACCCCCCCGGCTGCAGAGAGAGCCGGCACTGACCCCCCTGCCCAAGGCAGGGGCCTGGAGGGGGGGACACACCGAGCCCTTCGCCCTGCCCGAGCCTAAATCCCGCCAATGGCTGTGGCAAAGCCCCTCTTGGCATCGCCACAGCCCTTTGGGACCAAACCCTCGCCCCGCCCCAGCAATGAGGGATCTTCACCCAATAACCCCCCAGGGAATTGGAGGCAGCTGTGCTCCCGCGGCTCCTCTGAGCAGGAAATTCAGAGTCAAAGCCAGAAAAATCATTCCCCATCCCCTGCCAGGTCCCCCCACCATCCCCAACTCTCTACCAGGATGGCATTTGCACGGGGTACCCTGATCCAAGGGATCCCTCCAAGCTCTGGCCTCACCCCCACAGTAATTAGCTCCAAGCACTCCCAGCCTTGCTGTTAAGCTCAAATAACAAGAATTTCTAAACTTAGTACTGTTTTTCCTTCTGCCCAGCAAGAGCCTGACACCCTGCTGAGAGCAGGAAGGACTTTTGTTATCAGCTCCCACTATCTCCCCGACCTGGAGAGGCTGCTCCAACCCCTCCTCTCTGGCACGATCAGGGAGTTCTGCAGCTTCAGGAGGAGGATTTGGTCCCTACCAAAGCAGATTTTGGTCCTTACCCCTCCCTGGGTGGGGGGAGAGTGGGATGCACCACCACAACTCCCCATCTCTGCCATGTGCAAGGAGGCAGCGTGCTCAGTGCATCAGGCTTGTTCAGACATGGTGCTTTTATTCTCACCTTTTAAGAGTCGACTTTTTGGGTCTCTTTCAGGTCTGTTAATCATTACAAAATTGCTCCTTACCTGTGATACGTTACCTATGCCCCAAGTTGTTTATGAAGCACTATTGCAGGACTTGCACCTCACCTGGGCTCTGCAAGGTCAGGAGTTGTTATTCTGTGTCTGTGCAGGTTTGCATTTAACCCACCCAACTCTGCCCTAAATAATAACTTCTAGGAGAACAGAGGGAGGCAACACTCAGTTTTATTGTTTTGGGAGAGTATTTTGAAGTTCCACTGTAAACAAGCTTAAAACAAACCAGTCATCCCCAAAATCCCCTCAGACCTGCCTTGGGTTAGGAATGGTATTCCCTAATTTACTGGTCCCACTGAAAACACCCCAGGGTCAAGCACCACTCACTCCCCCTGTCCCTCTGTATGGAGAAGAGAATGGGAAGCATAAAAAGGTAATCCCTGTCCTGGCTGGAACCAGGACAACACCCCAAAGTCAACTCCCACAAATAAATATAAAAAAATTAAAAAAAAAAAAAAAAAAAAAAAAAAAAAAAAAAAAAAAAAAAAAAAAAAAAAAAAAAAAAAAAAAAAAAAAAAAAAAAAAAAAAAAAAAAAAAAAAAAAAAAAAAAAAAAAAAAAAAAAAAAAAAAAAAAAAAAAAAAAAAAAAAAAAAAAAAAAAAAAAAAAAAAAAAAAAAAAAAAAAAAAAAAAAA